TCTCTCTCTCTCTCTCTCTCTCTCTCTGTGTGTGTGTGTGTGTGTGTGTGTGTGTGTGTGTGTGTGTGTATACATGCAAGTACACAGGTACCCACAGAGGACAGAGACATTGGACCCTCTGGAACTGGAGTTACAGGCTGTTGTGATCCACCTGATATGGGTACTGAGAACTGAACTCACATCTTCTGCAACAGCAATACTCACTCTTAACTTCTGAGCCCCCTCTCCAGCCTCCAAAACTCATTTTTAATAGATAGGCATATCAGCACATACCTTAATCTCAGTATTAATGAACGTGGAGACAGGAGATTTGCAAATTTGAGGACAGTCTTGGTTACATAACAAGACCATGTTTAAAAATTTAAATTTAAAAAGACCTCTTCCCCAAATAAAAAGTCAAAAAAATATGTGTGGTGATATTGTGTTCCCCAATATATTGTGCACCCTAATAAACTTATCTGGGGTCAAAGAACAGAACAGCCACTAGATATAGAGGCCAGAAAATGGTGGCACACACACACCTTTAATCCTAGCATTCCAAAGGCAGAAATCCGTCTGGTTCTCTGAGTTAAAGTCCACATTGGAAACAGCCAGGCATGGTGACACATGCCTTTAATCTCGGGAAGTGATGGCAGGAAGCAGAAAGGTATACAAAGCATGAGGACCAGGAATTATAGCCTGGTTAAGCTTTTAGGCTTTTAGCAGCAGTTCAGCGGAGATTCATTCGGGTGAGGACTCAGAGGCTTCCAGTTCAAGGATACAGGATGAGCTAAGAAGCTGGCAAGGTGAGGTCAGCTGTGGTTTGTGTTCTATCTCTCTGGTCTTCCATTATTCACCCCAATACTTGGCCCTGGGTTTGTTTTTATTAATAAGACCTTTTAAGATTCATGTTACAAATACATTCTACTAGGTAGACAGACAGTAAGAAGGACTTTGTCCTTCAACTAAAATGTTTGGGAATCCCAAAACTCCCTAATCAAGACCCCTCTGTCTTAGCTACATTTTTATTGTTATATTAAGACACCACGAACAAAGCAACTTTTCGAAAAAAAGTTTATTGGGGGGTTGCTTAGGTTTCATAGGGTGAGTCCATGACCAGCATTGTTGAGAACATGGCAGACAGGCAGGCATGACACTGGAGCAGTAACTGGTATCTTACATCTTTCCTCACACACGTGAGGCAGAAAGAGAAGGACACCAGGAATGGCATGGGCTTTGACACCTCAAAACCCATGCCAGTGACACACTTTCTGCAAGGCCACACCTCCTAATGCTTCCCAAACAGTTCCACCAACTGGGAACCAAATATTAAAATTGATGAGCCTATGAGACCCATTCTCATTCAAACCACCACAGTCTCTAATCTTCATCCCCAATACATTTCAGCCTCAAAAGCTTACCCTCTCCTCCAAACATGTCAGCCATATTTTGATGTTCCTTTCTTTAATGCCAAGACAAAGGCTCTGTGGAAAGGCTGAGCCCCACTGAAAGGACTAGAAAACCTAGAAGCTTCCTTGCCCGAGGACAGCTAAATTCTTAGGCTCATTTGGTGATGGGATCAAGAGAGTGTGTTCAGAGTAGACTGAACCAGCGAGGTGGCTGGACTTGAGCCCACCCAGCCCTATCTCCATCTAACTCATCACTTCAACTTAATTGGCATTTACTTCTTAATATCCCAGTTTACTTGCCTCTCAGATGGGTGTGTGTCAGTAATGAATCCTTGGGCCCCAGAAGGATCAATGCAACAATCCATGTAAAATGTTTCAACATTCTATAAGAAATAGTGTTGAAAAGTTTTCTGGTTATTCTTATCAGCCTATGATGATATTCTGGCAAGACAGTCTCAATGTCCAAATCTGTCTATATTGATTGTGTTTACTGGTCATCTGTTAGCTGAAGCAAGTGAAGTGGGCAAGTCCAGAGTCAACTGGGGATAGCCAGGGCCATGGAGACTTCATTCACTATGATACAAATGGAATAAGACATCATTATGCCTTCATCATCATTACCACAATAATCACTACCCTTATCATCAACACCATTAGCATCCTCATAATCACCACCTCATCCTCTCTCTTTTTGAGTCAAGGTCTTACCCTGTTTCTCCGGCTGCCTCAGCATCCTGAGTGTTGGGATCACAGACACATGCCACCACACTTATTCTTATTATTCTGCCCTGCAAGCTAGTTTTCTCATTGCTAAACTAAGTGCCTGACAGAAAACCTTGAATTAGTACTTTTTCAGTTTGGCTCACTGATTCCGAGGCTTCAATCCCACTGACTCCAGACCTGTGATAGGGCAGAGCTTTGTGACTGCAAGAGTGTGTGGCAGAGGCTGATCGCCTCAAGTAGCAGAGGAAGCAGAGTGGATGTCTGCTCTCAGGCTTTCTACATTTCCCCCCTTTACTGTGTCTGTGCTCCTAATGGGTGACCCTCCCACATTAGGGTGAGTATTTCCCTCCAGGAGCTGTCAGTCACCTCTGGGAATGTCCTTGCACACACTTGTACAGGTATACTTTATTAATTTTCCAGGGGCTTCTCCAGCCCATCAGACTGACTATCAAGATGAACCAATCCAGCCCATCATGTTCAATGTGATGTTCATTCATTCTTGGCTTAGAGGAGAGAATCCTTGTCATACTTTATGAGTGCTGGGTTTTTTCACTTGGAAGCCATGTTACCTGTCATTTAAACAACCATTAAAACACTGACCACCTCATACCAAAATGGCTGTCTGCTCACTATGCTACACATATCCTGTGCTAGCAATCCTAACAACAGTTTTGCTTCATCACCTCTCCTTTCCTGGTATCCACTAGATTCCTTTCCTCTTCTTCCCATACCTTATACTATTTTTGATTAGTCTTCCTTAAATGATCCCAGAATGTAATGGGCTTCATCATAGGCTTTTCAAATATACCTTCTTTGTGTTAATCCCCCTCATCTGCTCCTGTCCTTCCCTCTGCCCCCCACCCATAGCCTCTATTCTAGTTTGCCTTCTGGTTGCTGTGATAAACCACTCCTAAAATAAGGAAGGGCAGGAACTCAAGCAGAAACCAGGAAGGAATGCTGCTTACTGCATTATTTCATCAGCCTCATGCTTAGGCATCTTTCCAATTTGGGCCCACCTGTCTAGGGTTGGCACTGCCCACAGTGGACTGGGCTATCCTAAATCAACCAACAATCAAGACTATTTCTCACAGATATGGCCACAGGCCAATCAGATCTAGGAAATAGCTTAGTTGACGCTCCCTCTTCTCAGGTGACTCTTGGTTGTCATCCCATTAATGATTGCAGTTGATGTCATTGCCACCATGATTGCCACCATCACCTCCTCAGAACAGAACTACTAGACAACAACCTAGCAGCATCACTCATGTGTCTATACCCATAGGTCATAAGACTTACTACAGAGATACTTGCACGTCCATGCTGATTGCAGTGGTATTCCTAATAGCCAGTATATAGAACCAGGCTAACTGTCTACCAGCAGATGAGTGGATACAGAAACTGTGTTACATGTATCCACACCTCTTGTTTGGTCCAGAATCACTGGTGGAATGTAAGGGGCAGAGAAAAGAGAGCTGTGTTGGGGAGGAAGAAATCTTTGGGTAGAAGAGTCCATAGGCCACAGCCTTCCCTAGACATGGTGGTCCATAAACCTCCATCTTCTCCAATGGCCTATGTATTGAGCAGTTGTGGATATTCTGAGGGGTGCATCTGACAACTAAACATTGCCCATTGGTTTAGTGCTGTGCACGATCTCCTGTGCAGATTGCCATCAACAGAGAAAAGCACTGTCACATTGGTGCCAGGCTGAGGTTGTGTCCACTCTCCTCTGTAGCAAGGCTCCTTCATGAGACCCTCAGAACAATGGCTTTTGGCACTGTCTTCCTATTAGTAATTGCAGCTGATGTCATTTTGCCAAACAAAATTATAAGCAAAATGGATGTTTTAGGTCAAAGTGTAGCAAGGAATATATGGCTGTGTTCCCTTCAATAAATCTGCCCTCTTCTGCCCAGACAGAGACATACCACCTATGATGATTGACATTTTCACCACTAAATTATACTATGTCTCTTTCTAGAAGAACTGTCTCCATTCTGAAATTAGCTAACCATCAACATAACATAAAATAACTCGAAACATGGTGTCATTTCACAGAGATATTGATTCATACAGACTTACTGGATTAATAACCGGTTTCCCATAAAAGGAGTAGTCGCTGTGTCTTTCGTAGACAGAAAAAAATTATACACTTTAGAACAATATATATTGGTACATTTAAGCCTGATTGCTAAACTCAAATAATCAGAAGGGTTTTCAGGGGGCAGTATTGTAAATGGAAAGGGAGGTGACATGGTGCCCCATACAAATGCATGTGAGGTGATGGAAAGCTCATAAAACAGACAACTACTTATTTATTTGGGGCATTTGATTTTACTCTACTGGATTACACAAGGCTCTAATCTGTCACTGCAGTCAGTCTATGTAAAAGTGAAACCAATCGACACTTGTATTTAATTCCCAAATGCTTTTTCTTTCAGTCTTTACCTTTTCAAAGCCGGACAACTTTTAGTGTCTTGGTGGAGCCACCCAACCCAGAGCAGATACAGAAAGGCAATGGTGAGTAACTACTCAGCTCCCAGTGACAGCCAATCCACTCTTTCCTTCTTTAGGACTCCGTTTGCCAATATACTGAGAATATGTTTCTTGTCACTTTTCTTTTAAGAGTATGGTTTTTCTTTTTTTGAAGTTTTATGGTAAGGAAGTAATTGAAATTAGCCTACAATTTCTCATCTGATAAATTATCACTTGGTGTCTCTAACATAATTTGAACTCAATTGGCTCTTTCTATGATTCTCTGTGTGCTATCCAGGGTTGGTTCCACAAATCCCCTGAAGCCATGCCCATGTCAACCATCATCCTTCTGTGTGGACATCTCTTGGGCTCCTCACATCAATGGGCTTTTCTATTGAATCTTTTTTCTTGAGGTACTTTCTCAGCATCTCATGAGCTAGAAAAACATGCAGTCCATTATCTGTTCTTGCCTTGTGGTTTGTGATGTGGTTTAGAGATGAAGCGTTCCTCCCCTCGCAGAAGCTCATGGCCTTCAGCTAACAGGCCTATTTTGAGGTTCTGGAGACTCTTGAGAGCTCACTGGAAATAAGTCATCTAGAGTCAGGACATTGGGGCTGGCCTATTCCTGATCCCTTCCCCTCTCTCTCTGCTTTCTGGCTGCATGAGATGAGCAGCCCTACTCCTCCACACCCTCTGCCATGTTGCTCTGCCTCACCACAGACCTAGATGCCCCAGGGCAGGCTGCAAAAACTCCAACTTCTGACACCATGGGGCCCAAATAATCCTCAGTTCTTCAGTCATTCCTCTCAGGTATTTTGTCACAGCCATGAAGAGTCCTACCAACACCCACAGGCCAGCATTTTGATGTTGTCACATCCCTCCCAGTAGAATATGGAAGTGGGGGCTTCTCCACCTTCTAGACAGCTTCAGACCTGCAGCCTATCCCCTTGTGGGAACACAGTACATGCTCAGTAATGAAGGTATCCGTTCCTGGGAGGAAGATACAGAAAGAGAAACTTATCATCTTGACTCGCTTCCAGCTTTCTGTCACGTTTTTGGATGATAATTGTCTTCTTTGTATCTTACTTTTCCTTCTTTTACATAAGAGGAGTAGTGTGCGCTTGTTGCCCAGACATGGCACACAGGTTAACTCACTGCAAAGCAAAACAAAGCAAAATGAAGCTATCTATTCATTTATTCCCTTTATAGGTACTTTATGGGATTTTCTTGAAAGGATTAAGAGGTAAAACCATTGAACATGGAAAACCGGCTATGACTACCGAGCAATAGTGTACTGTAGCATTAAATTCCATCTGGTTTGTAAGACATCCCTTAGAAAATGACTTTCTGTGCTTCTCGGATGCCAACAACACTGTTTCTCACTTGTCTTCCATTGTTGACACAAATCACTAGCTGGCTTCTTGGCTGCCATTTAAATTTTGGTGGCAGCAATTTTAAGGTGATGAACCCAGGTGGTATGCACTGACATCTCTGCTACTAGGGAAACTGAGGCAAGAGGATCACAACTTCAAGGCTAGCCTGGGCAAGCAGGGTTAGGGATGTAGGTCTGTGGGAAAGTGGTTGCCATGGAATCTACCTGTGAGGGACTGTGGTTGCAACTCAGGGGTAGAACCCTTGCCTAGCATGTTTGAGGCCCTAGGTTCAAATTCCAGGATGGTAAAAAGGAAAGAAAGAAAACAAAGGAAATAAATTGCAGTTCCTGCAGTTGAATACTTGATTAAGTAGTTGCATTAAAAACAAATCTTTTTAAGTACTAAAATCACACACCATGAGATGACCACCCAAGGAGAGACATGTGGGAATAAGATCCAGAAGGGACCGCAGATTCATGGCTCCCATTTCATGCTTCTTTCTGGGCAGCAGCTGATAGAGTGGCTGGCAGGTAGAGTCTCCCTGCTACTTCAGCCATCCTTTCATCTCAGGCTCTGCGTTTCCCAGCATGGAGAAGTGCAGTTACATTAATCTCATCATGGTAACTCCTCTGGAGCTACAAGCTCTCCAAATTATTTACAGCAGGATTGATGGTTTCTCTGGAAAGCAGGGGCTCCCAGTTGATGGACATCTAACATCTTAGAAGGATTGTCTAGCTGTGGTTCCATATGGAAGTGGCAGAGGACATGTTGCCCTTGGAGAGAGGTCTCCAGGTAAGAAAGGTGGGGGCCATTGAAAAAGTCTCCAGGAACAACTTGGCCTTCTAGCACTGAGAAAGCACCTTATGGATACCAAGTCTGGATGATCTAAATCATGGGCCATCAAGCTGTAAGGTCTTTTCTCATTGTCAGAACCTGGAAATAATATTGTAAGACCAGAGCCAAAGAGCCCCTTTAGCCATTGCCTTTAGATTTAGCATGCAATGATAAATCCCTGATGTCTTCCTCCCTTGAAGTGGAACTGGCAGACAGTGGCTCCAGAAGAGTCTATAGGTACAAGAGGCTTGTAGTTGGGATCTTCAGCTGCCATTTAATTTTGCATGGTCTGGATTTGTTCATTTGAATGTTTGGTAAATGAAAACTTTAAATAAAATATCTATTTTTTAATTATATGTCTCTGTGTAGGTATGTGCATGTGCATGTAAGTGCAGGAGGCCAGAAGAGGCCGTCAGACCCTCTGGAGCTGCAGTTACAGGTAATTATAACCCATCCAGCATGGAGGCTGGGAAACAAACCTGGGTCCTCTGCAAGGGCAGTATGTGCTCCTAACTGCTGAACCATGCCTCAAGCCCCTAAATGATAAAAACTTGTGATAAATCCAGGTATCTGCTAAACCTTTGCCACAATTGGCAAACTAAACTGTTTACTCACGGATGAGACAAGAAAGAGGAACAGAGGGTCCCAGAGGATAACCTCAGGCAGTCACACCCTCCACCCTCCAAAGCTGCATCAGGAACCACCTCTCCAATTTGATGACTCTAAATTCCTTGTTCATCCCTGACCCCAACTCCCATCCCATGGTGTCCTGTCATCTCTCTTTCATCCCTCCATGAAGAGCCATGAATAAAAGCTGTTATTTATTGATGCCAGTTTGGGGGAACATTTTTCCTCCTGATTCATGAAGTACTTTTCTCCATTCAAAAAGCAGCTCATAAATTGTTCAGCGCCAGCAGAAATTAATAATAATGAATCCATTTGCATAAACAGTCTCATTCTGCCAGGTGCTGATAATATTTGAAGCTACAATCTTTTGGGGAAGCTGGGTGTCACATGTATGCATGTGGTGCCCCCATCTTCCTTTGGAGAATGTTACCAAAGTTTCAGTTATTCACCGTCCAGTCTGGATCATGGGGAGACAGTCTTTGAAAGATGTGGAAAGCAAGCACTGTGGGTAATAGTTAAGTACACGCAAGAGCATTTTAAGAAAACAGTTATTAGCCACATAAGAGTTCACATCTACTTAAACTGCCCCTTTGGGTAGTGTTGAAAAATTCATCAATCTAAAGGACCATTCATTCCCTAGAAAGATTGTCACCATTTGAAAAAACACATGCACAATACACACAATACACACACACACACACACACACACACACACACACACACACACACACACGGCTCCTGAGAAGCACAACGCAAGTCAAGTCCATGGGTTGATTTATTCCAAACTCTATTTTTCAAAGCTCACACCACAAGCACAAATCCCCACTGTTATAAGTAGCCTCCATGTGGAAAAAGAATGCTGAGATCAAGTGTACTGTGCAACACTCAGGCCAAACCAGACAGTGTTACTGGCTGCAGTGGTGAAGTCCATTCAGGGAATGGACCCACAGCTTTGGCAGCCATGTTTCCCTATTTTCATTTGAACCTTACCCTACCTTAGGAGTAGAAGGCAAATTTTTCATACCCTCCCATGCAAAAATGTTGTTATCCCTTATCTGCACCTAGCCCTACCCCATTTCGTTTTGTCTACAGCTGGCCCTCTAGATCCTTGTCACATCTATGTATCCTCAGATCCAATCATAATTCCAGAAAGTCCCAAAGAGCTAACCTTTCTATTTTCTATGTGTTGAGTACTATCTGAATCTTCATAGGTGCGGTGCTGTGAGGGCATTCGATGATGCTCTGTCAGTAATGGAGAGGTGATGTAAAGCACACGGGATAATGTAGATGCTGGACCATTTTCACTGAGTGGCCTGACATCTGTGGATTTCGGGAACCAGTCTGCTGCAGACAGAGAGTTGCCTCTGGGTATTGCTCTTTCCCTGTGCACTGCTCCTTTCCTGAAGGGAACGTGTTGAGGGATTTTGTGTTTCCTGAGACAGGGTCTCACCGTGTAGCCCAGACTGGCCTCAAACCTTTAAGCCTCCAGTCCCAGCCCCACAAGTTCTGAGATTACAAGCATGTTCAGGTCCTGATTTTGTTTAATGTGCATGTTTTGCTTTGTTTACATGTCTTCATCAACATGTATATTTGTGAATGTGCATGCCCATATGCCCGTGTACGGAGCTAGAAGAGGACATCAGATATCCTGTTTTATCACTCCCTTATTCCCATGAGCTGTGATCTCTCAGTGAACCTGGAAATAGGCTTGAAGGCAGCAAGGCCCAGGTGTCCTCCTGTCTCCCTTGTCACTACCCACACCCATTGCTGGCAATATAGGCTCACAGGCTCATGCCCAACTTTATATGTGGGTGCTGGAGATTTAAACTCAGATCTTCATTATTGTGCAACAAGCTCTCTTTCCCACTGAAACATAGCCCCAGCCCATGCTAGTTTGTGTTTTCAGTTCCCATGAATGAGGCTGTGTTTCTGACCTATTCACTAATTTCCTAGTGTCATGAAGCACCATGATTTGGCATATGCTCACAGCTGCTCTGTAAGCCACGTGATCTGCTGCTGCTGTTCCTCCACAGTATTCCAGAATGCTCATTCTTTCTCACAGGAGGACATCTAGGTTGCTCCCAGACTGCAATTGCTATAGGCCACTCTGCTAGGAGTGGGTGTCCTTATGATAGCTTTGGGAATTTCTGTAGGATGTGCATTCAGGAAAAGGGTGGCTGTGTTATATATATATATATATATATATATATATATATGTGTGTGTGTGTGTGTGTGTGTGTGTGTGTGTGTGTGTGTGTGTGTGTATTAAATCTGAAGATGTAGTTCTAGGTACTTCAGGGTGATTCAATGTTCTCTATACATTCCCATCTGTTGTGACAAGAGTCCCACTCCCTACCAATATGTCACATTCAGTTGACAATTTTACCAGCAAAATGTGTAATGTACTCTCTCCTCTTAATGACACTTTTCTAGTCACCGATAAATGTGAACATTTGCTTATTAATTAGCCTTCAGAAAGTCTTCAATAAATCGTCTCAGCCTTTGCATGCCTTACTTCTGGCTCTTCCTCTTCTTACTGACTTGTAGGAGTGTCTTGGTTTTTGACATTATATATCTCTCATTCTGTTAGAGTCTATGTTCAGAATGCCTTCAGGGATAAAAGTTTTCATCCCTGCCCCCAGAGCTATACAGTTCATGGTGGGCAGACTTTAAGATGGCCCTTGATGACCCTATTCCTCATACTGGGTTTCCTTGCCCAACCTTAATACATGGGGAGGTGCTCAGTCTTACTGCAACTTGATATGCCATGTTTTGTTGATACTCATGGGAGACCTGCCTTTTCTAAACAGACATGGAGGAGCAGTGGCTTGGGAGGATGGAAACAGAGGGTTGGGGTTTGGGGGAGAGGCTGGGAGGAGAGGAAGGAGGAGAACTGTGGCCAGGAAGTAAAATAAATAAATAAGTTTATTAAAAAAAAAAAGATAGCTCTTGATGATCCTTGCCTCCTAGCAGTCAGGTGGTTATGAAGTTCCCATATCTGACAGCCTGCAGAAGACATGCAAAAGCTCAAGCCAGCTTGCACAGGGGAGATGGGCACGAAGTCACACCTACAGCTGAGGACCTACTGGCAATTGATAGCTGCTGGGAGAGGAAGAGTTAGGATTTTTTTTTAAGGGTATGGTCCCCAGTAGGCCAATCATGCTGTAGTGGAAGACAGCACATCCAAGAGTATATGGACAACAGAAATTGGACTTGATGAGTTTTTAAGAAATGTAAAAGAGCACAGAAAGCTAGGTTGGGAGTGTTGGTTAGTCTTAGTTGTCAACTTCACTACATCTTCTATCAACTAAAACACAAGCTACAAAGGATTTTCTTTTCTCCCTTTCTTTTTTTCCTCCACCTCTTCTTCTTTCCCTCCCATCTTTCTTCCTTCTCTCCTCTCATGTGGGTGTTTTGTCTACATGAATGTTTGCACACCATGTCCATGCCCAGTGTTCAAGGAGGCCAGAAGGATGTCAGATCCCCTGGAACTGGAGTTGACAGTTGTGAGCTGCCTCATGGATCCTGGGAATCAAACCTAGTACTCTGAAATACTGAGCCATCTCTCTAGCCCCTCTTACATTTTTCTTTGATTGATAATAACCAGTTCTCAAGGGATTGTTTTCAGAAACAAACCACTGAGAGGCCTCCTCTGAGTCCTGTCTTTCTGCAAGTGGAGAAAGCTACTTTCAGGATGAACTTGACTTCTGCTCCCGACTTACTACTGATGAGCTGAGTTTTCTTCAGAGGGCTCACTTCCTTTACTGCCTTCAGTTTCCCATCTGCAGAAGACAGTCAGGTGACTTCTTATCCTCTGAAGGGCAACGGAAGGGTGAGTGCTGTCACCAGCCAAGGTTAGGAAGGTGTGGTTGTCCTACACCTGTGCAGTTTACCTTGGCAGAACCAGGCTAGGGCCTGATGGCTCTGTCTCTCCTCTGCCACGGTTTGTCCAGTGTCCCCCATCTATATGGGGACTTCTAACTTTCCAAGGGAATATCACATGTTTTTCCAACTGTTTAAGGTTTTAATGCTTCACAATATCTTGGTGTGTTACCATATCATTGTGTATTTTGCCAATGATTTTTGCTTTTAATTTTCAAGTTTCTATTGGAAGAATATCTCTCTCTCCCTCTCTATCTCTGTCTCTCTCTCTCTCTCTCTCTTTCTAGATTCTTTCTGTGTATAGCTCTTATTGGCCTTGAACTAGAGTTGCTCCTGCCTCAACCTCATAATTGCTGAGTACTTGGCTTCCAGGAGTGTACCATCACCCTCTGCTAGTCAGCCCTAGGAAGCCATTTTCCCTAAAGAGGGTAACCAATTACTGCTCATGGGATCTGAAAAGGTCTGCAATGCAGACATTCACCCTCCAAATCTAGAAGAATGGAGAACTTTTGCAAAACACCCAGAAGCATCCTGAATTTCAGACTTGGCAACTCACAGCATGTAAGCAAAGCCCCTGTGAGCATGTACTTTACAGACATACTGAAAGTGAACAGGTGGTATGATATAAGTGATGTGAGCCCAGACCCTCATCACCATCACCCCCCCCCCACACACACACACATACACACATGTGTGTGCTACAGGAGTTTCTTGTCAGAGAGGATGTTGCAGATGGATATGGCTTCTGATTGGCTCATGCTTTGTTTAGGTGATTTCTTCTGTTGCCACTGATGCCTGCAGAGCGTCAAGGAAGCAAGCAATAGACATTAACACCACTAACACAAGTTCTGGTGCTGCTGACCATGCCGTGGCCCCTTGGACTTTCTGCGTCAGCCGTCTATCTTACACGCCACTTACCCCTCCCCAGTG